AATGTCGAAGAAATATTTCCAAACTTCAATGTTCAATGAAATTTTTGTTCAAGTTTGAAATGGAGAGAGCAGCTTTAAAAGGTACTAAGCCTTTTACAAATTGGTGAGTACTGGCACATGAGACCTAGAGCAGGAGCAACTTCTCACACTTAAGTCAGTGGGAAAAGCAGTGCTTTGAAAGTTCCTCCCTCAGCCTACACAGTAGTCGTCATGTCGAGACCTGCCAGAGAGAGACACATTCTCAAGTGAATCCTGGCTTCTTGGAAGCGCTTGCCTAGACGAGACACTGCATAAAAACAACTTTTGGGGGACAGGTATGTTTTTCTTGCAGCTGCGGTTTTAAGGTCTTGGCAAGACAAGCAGTGTGGCCAGAATTTTGAACTACTGATGAGTATGTGATACAAAGGACCTTGTACATTAAACGGTCCTCAAAATGAGCACGTGAAGAGGTTGCTGTGAAACTTTTAAGTGGCCCTACTGCGCAGAAGCATTCAGATGTCACTTGATGATCTGTAAAAGGGACTTGTTCATTTGGGAATCTTCTAGGGATAAAATACACATTCCTTTCGGCAAGCTTCCATTACTGGGTGGGTAATGACAACACAGATAACGTGCTTTTTCTCCCCACCCCCTTTTTATTTTTTTCTTTTTTCAACTTAAATGGTATTCCTACAGGGAATGGATAACCATTTTAACTGTATTTTTTGCAGCCCGTACCTTCTTGGGAATACAATTGTCTAACTTTTTATTTTTGGTCTGGCTGTTGTGGTGTGCAAAACTCTGTACATTGCTATTTTGCCACACTGCAACACCTTACAGATGTGGAAGATGTGAAATTTGTCATCAATTATGACTACCCTAACTCCTCAGAGGATTATATTCATCGAATTGGAAGAACTGCTCGCAGTACCAAAACAGGCACAGCATACACTTTCTTTACACCTAATAACATAAAGCAAGTGAGCGACCTTATCTCTGTGCTTCGTGAAGCTAATCAAGCAATTAATCCCAAGTTGCTTCAGTTGGTCGAAGACAGAGGTTCAGGTAAGATTAGGCTTTGATAAGAAAAGTGATGGTTTTGCAGTTGCAGCATTGCCTGCAAATCATTTTAAATAGCATTGGAGAGTGAGTAGAATCTTCAGAAGTGTGAATTTGAGAATAAAAATGGTTCAGACCAAGTATGAGTATAACTGTTTTTTTGTTAGTAATGATTTAATCACTAGCCATAGGTTTAATCAGTTTGCAATATTTCTCTTTTAACAGGTCGTTCCAGGGGTAGAGGAGGCATGAAGGATGACCGGCGGGACAGATACTCTGCAGGCAAAAGGGGTGGATTTAATACCTTTAGAGACAGGGAAAATTATGACAGAGGTTACTCTAGTCTACTTAAGAGAGATTTTGGGGCAAAAACTCAGAATGGTGTTTACAGTGCTGCAAATTACACCAATGGGAGCTTTGGGAGTAATTTTGTGTCTGCTGGTATACAGACCAGTTTTAGGACCGGTAATCCAACAGGGACTTACCAGAATGGTTATGATAGCACTCAGCAATATGGAAGTAATGTTGCAAATATGCACAATGGTATGAATCAACAGGCATATGCATATCCTGCTACTGCAGCTGCACCTATGATTGGCTATCCAATGCCTACAGGATATTCTCAATAAGACTTTAGAAGTATATGTAAATGTCTGTTTTTCATAATTGCTCTTTATATTGTGTGTTATCAGACAAGATAGTTATTTAAGAAACATGGGAAATGCAGAAATGACTGCAGTGCAGCAGTAATTATGGTGCACTTTTTCGCTATTTAAGTTGGATATTTCTCTACATTCCTGAAACAATTTTTAGGTTTTTTTTGTACTAGACAATGCAGACAGTGTTTTCACAAAAGTAACTGTACAGTGATTTGAAATACAATAAATGAAGGCAATGCATGGCCTTCCAATAAAAGATATTTGAAGACTGACTTAGTGGAAATTGTACTTTATTTTACATATATGATGTCTGTAAAACTTTGCTTAGATGGTACGGTTTTTTGTTTTATTTCACTTTTTTTTTAATCATAAAGTGACTGCCATTCTTGGGGATGGGATATTAAGGCCCTTTCAAAAAATTTCCATTTTGCAAGAATTGAAAGTGATCTGAGTAAATTTCTCTTCAGGCCAAATTGCATAAAAGCTTTATCGGTTGCTTTCAACAGGGAAGTTCATTTAATAGCCAGCCTATTTTCTTATAACTACTAAGATAATAGGGAATAATTGTGTAGAGTGAGAACAATGTAGGTGACTGTTCCTTTTCAAAAATCTTTTGGAGTACAAAAGAGCTTCAAACAGCTTTTTCAGAAGATTATACTTAGAGCCGTACTGTGGATTACCAGATGAACAAAGCTGAAACACTTTTGATTTAATCCACAAGCTAAGTTTGAGTCTATGAACTGAATTTGCACAATGTCTATAGTGCAGGTTAGAGAGTCTAGTCTTCACAGACTTCTGAGGTTCTTGGCTAGTCACACTGGGAGTTATGAATGTCTTTATAATAATTGAGGGAATTCTAGAGGTCTAAAAACTGGAAGGTCTATCATACTCTTACCAAGGGAGAAAAACCTTATCAAAATGGTTGATCAGGAAGTAGTAACCAAAAGCACAGTAAGTACAGTACAGGTCTTCATGTTAGGTTCATTACTAGAAAGATGGGAATTGTTTTAAGTTTAACTTCTTTGGCTCACCAGCCTCTGTAATTTATTTCAGCTGTGGCTAAAAAGTAGGCCTGAATGTCTTCCCAAGGAGGCTGGTGTGTGTTACCAGGAAAGTGGGTCTAATGAGGCTCCATTTAAATGGGTAACCTTAAGGCTTTGATTGGTGTTAATGCTTTACCTCTGAAATGTGAAACTGCAGGGGTGGGGAGTGGAGTTTCTAATACTATTAACATTGAAAACTGATTCAGACCATCCTGAACTGTTCTCAATGGCATATGGTTAGTCATTTCATGATTTTTAACGTAGAAAATGCTTTTAGGGTAGGTTGAAGCTTTTATTACATATTTTACTGTTTAATGTCAACATGGGCCTTCTAATTTGTAAACATGGAAATGATTGTGGGCTGTGGGGTGAACAAACCACTTACCTATTTAACTGAAGTTTTAAAATACAGTCCACTTTTTAGCATGTGTGTTTTGTCCAGCCTGTGGTTGTCTTTAATAAATGTGATTTTTCTCCCACTCTCTCTTTTATTTATTTGTGTAGAGACCTCTTCCTGTTAACAGTATTAAACACTTGGTATACTAGCTTTGCACTAGATTACAGCAGTGCCCCTTTCTGCTCCTGCCCGTGTTGCATGTCATTTGATATTTACTGAGCGTATCTTACACCTTATTTTAACTACATTAACGCAAACTGCACAGTTACAAACTGTCCCGCCTTTGAAGTCTAGGGAAGCTTGTATGTTGTGCCGGGCCTTTTAAAGTTCCCATAACCCCATTAAGGGCAGATGTAATGTGGGGATCAGCATGAAGCATCTTGCTCACTTCACTTTTCCATTCAAGTACTTGTGTTTACATAGAGAGTATAAAATTGTGGAGCCTGCCAGGAAAAGTCTTACCATAAGTTTCACTGTATGATCTGATAAGCCTAGGAAAGTGTCCTCTGGTACAAGTTGCGGGAGACAACTCCAGTGACTTCCCCTTGAATGTAAAACAGTTACTGTACCTCTGATCACTTGGAGACATTTCATTACACTGATTCATAGCTGGCTATGGTATTTCCTCGCTCCAATTGGCTCTTAAGTACTGTCAATAAGGACGTCCCACCGAATGTTAGAGCCAATAGCTTATAGCTCTGGGAATGTCAGCTGGGTAGGAGCCTCAAAGTGAAGAGGCTGTGATTCCCCAGGGTACAAGAGTGTATATAAAACTGAAGCAACAGCCTCGCAGAACAATTTAGTTACCTTATTTAGATGATGTGAATTGATGCTTCTGCATACCTTTATCCCTTGCAATTCACAGAGATGCTTTCTCCCACCTGGATGGCCAGCTTAAGTTACAGAATTCCCACCATCCTGTCACTCATCCCTGAGCCACCCTCCTTCACAAGATAAATTCTGGGTGAGGCCTAGGATCAAAGCCTTTATCCTCATGTCCATGGGGATTGGAGTTAGGACTCCTTGGATGTCCTTAATTTAGAACATGTCTTGGTGTCTTTACTCTCGCCATGGGTTGCATTGGTGGTATTAGATTGGAATTAACTTGCTGGGATTCCAATAACGTCTCAAGAGAGATTACAAATAAAACTTTTTTAGGTTGTGAGGAAAACTAGGAAAATTACACTTGGATGACTGAACTCAGTATATGGGGTCACAACAGAAGTTGCATAAACATAGGTTCCTTTCCACTACTGAGGGGTTTTAAACATCCCCAAGGTCTGTGTTGGCAGAGGACGGTCCTGGAATCACAGTAGGTGTAAAGGGCTGCATTAGGGTCGCTTGCCCAGTTGCACCCAAGGGATTGAGAAGAACTCATCTGGGAATAGGCCTTTGGCAGCAAGCATCTATCTGAAAAATTAGAACCAAATTTCGTTTTCGTTAGATCCCTAAAACTAGAAAGTTGCGTTTAAATGGTGGTTTGGATCCCTGCGTGAGTAACCTAGCAAGATTCAAAAGCCTGGAGATGTAGCTCACTGCATGGTCCTGAACAGAATGAGTGGTTATTTGGAGAACAGTATTTTCAGTTTGGAAGTAAGAACAGCAGCTACAGTGCTTTTGCAAAGTTCTGTAGTATACAGCCCGATAAGAATCGGCAGCTGGAGGGCGGTGGGTAGGAGGATGGCGCAAGGTTTGGTCGGCCAACTGTGAATCTTAAAAACAAGCAAACAAAAAAATGCCATCGATAACGGCGTGGGCCCACCATGATCTACCACGATCCACCGTAGCTGCCGCTATAAATCAGCGGTGGAAGCTGCCAGGACGCAGTCACCCGCTTCCGGGGCGGAGCCAGCTGAGCGCGCACTCTCTTCCGTCGCGCCTGCGCCGTGAACTCTTGTCGGCGCTAAGGTTGTGGTGGTTTTTTGGACTAGGTATGATGCGTTTTTGCTGCTGAAAGAGATGCGCTCTGGTGCAGCAGTCAGGGCTTGTCACAAAGTCTGCAGGCGTCTGTTGTCTGGGTTTGAGGGTCGAGTAGATGGAGGACAGCCTGAGCGGTTGACGGAAAGGAGTAAGTCCCTCGGAGGACACCTGACGCCCCACACGGAGCATCCCCCGGAGAGCGAGCAGATAGAAATCCCGGAGTCCGCAGAGGGCGGCGAGGCGTTGTTAGAGGTCTGTCAGAGAAGGCATTTTCTTAACGGAACGAAACACGTTAGCCGAGATTCTCTTCTGCGGGGGTGCCACCACGGCTTTGGACCTCTAGGCGTAGAGTTGCGGAAGAACCTGGCCGCAGAATGGTGGTCCTCCGTGGTCGTGTGCAGAGAGCAGGTCTTCCCGGTGGACGCCCTGCACCACGACCCACGACCCTCGCTTCTGGGGGACGGGGCCTTCAGGTTAGTTTCTGCAGAAGCCCTACGCGAGATCTTGCAAGACAAAGAGCTGAGTAAAGAGCGGCTAGTAGCATTTCTTGAGAACTTACTAAAAACTTCTGGGAAACTACGGGAGACTCTTCTTCATGGTATGATTCTTCGCAGTTTCATGCTTCAAAACAGGTTTGGGGTGGAAAGCAGATTCGCCAAGTTTGGGGATTGCAACTGGCCCTCCTTAAATCCCAAGCAAAGGAAGTTGCGCGTTTCTCTTTTGTTTGTTTGTTTGTTCTGGTACCAGGGATCAAACTCACAACCTCACACTTGCCAGGGAGGCGCTTATACCACTGACCTAAAAATCCCCTGCCCGTTTCGCATTTGAAGTCGTGTTTTTTTTTAACGAAAAAAGGATAAAAACAATGATACAGAGTCTCAAAAAAAATTAGTTAATATATTGCGTATTATCTTCAAAGTAGTTGTTCAGATTACAAGACATAGGCGTGAAAAAAATGATCAGTCGAACAATGAAAATACAAACTTTTTGATGAACAGATTAGTTATCTATCTTGCATATATATAGATAATCTTTTCTTCTTTTTTTCCTTTCTTCTATCCCAGTTCTTTTTGAGCAGTTTGTTTGCCTTTCATTTTTACAATATCTATTGTACTTTTTTTTTTGTACCACGAATCAGACTCACAACCTCATGCTTGTTAGGTAGGCACTGTGCCACTGAGCGGATCTTGTTTACTCTTTCAGTTTTTTATGCTATGGAGACAATATGTTATTTACACATGCAAGACTGATTCACTTGACTTATGAATATGGTTGCAAGTTGCATCCATTTCCCTATAAAAGCCTCAAGTTTATCTTTCCTTATAACTGAGTAATAAAGTTGTTTCTTAATTATACCTGTCTGCCATGTCTGTGTAGCAGCCAGGGATGCTTGGTCTCATACATGTTTAAAAATACATATATATATATCTTTTTTATCCATTTTGTGGTTGATGGGCATTTGGGCTGTTTCCAAGATCTAAGTATTACAAATTGTGCCGCTGTACACACGTATGCACATGTATCACTGTGGTATGATGTTTTTGATTCTTCTGGGAAAATACCCAGAAGGGGAATAGCTGGAACCTCCAATTATAGTTTTTTAAGGAATCTTCACACTGATTTCCACAGTGGTTGCACCAGTCAACACTCCAACAGTGGAGAAATGTTCCCGTTTCCCCACAGCCTTACCAGCATTTGTTATTGGTTGATTTCTTGATAGCCATTCTTTGTAAAGTGAAAAGGAATCTCAGTGTTGTTTTAATTTGCATTTCTCCAATGACCAGTGAAACTGAACTTTTTTTATATGTTCACTTGCCATTTGTATTTCATCTGAGAAGTGCATATTCATCTCAGATGCCCATTTTTGGATTAAGTTTCTGAATTCTTTATATGTTCTAGATATAAGTCCTTTGTCTGAGGGACAGTTGGCTAACATTTTTTCCTACTGTACAGGTTTTCTTTTCACATCATAGGTGATTTCTTTGGATGTACAAAAACCTTTTAATAGATGAAATCTCAGTTGTTGACTCTTTGAAGTATTCCTTATGCAGTTTGCATTTTGCCTACCCCTGTGTCTTGAAGATTTCTACCTACCTTGTCTTCCAGGGTATTTAGTGTTTCTGTTTTAATATTTAGATCTTTGATCCATTTTGACTTTAGTTTAGTGCATGGTGTTAGATGTGGGTCTAGTTTTAGTTTTCAGCATGTGGAAAGCCAGTTTTTCCAGCACCATTTATTAAAAAGATTATCTTTCTTCCCCTGAGCATGTTTGTGCCCTTCATCAAAGATAAGGCAGCTGAGTGTCTTTGTCGATGTGTCTGCATTTTGTAATCTATTCCATTGATCCTCAGGTCTGTTTTTATGCCCCTACCATGCTGATTTCATCACAGTATCTTTGTAGTATAATTTCAAGTCAGGAGTTGTAATGCCTCCTGCCTTGCCTTTGTAGCCCAGCATTGCCTTTACTATTCTATTCTCTTCTGTTTCCAAATAAATTTTAGGGATGTTTTCTCTACATCTGTGAGGTATGCTGATGATATTTTGATTAGAATTGCATTAAATCTGTATAACAGTTTTGGGAGTATGGCCATTTTCACAGTGTTGGTTCTTCCTATCCAAGAGCAAGGGATATCTTTCCATTTTCTGATATCATACCCTCTTCAATCTTCTTTTTCAGACTACTATAGTTTTCAGTATATAGATCTTTTACATCCTTTGTTAGATTGATTCCTAAGTATCTCTTTTTTTGGATGGTATTTTGAAAGATGTTATTTCCGTAATTTCTCTCTCAGTGAGTTTGTTGTTTGTGTACAGGAATGCTGTCGATTTTTTTTAATGCTGATTTATTTTTTTGTCTTTTTCCTTTTTGTTGGTACCAGGGATCGAACTCACGACTGCCTGCTTGCAAGGCAGGCGCTTATGCCGCTGAGCTAAATCCCCAGCCCCTATGCTGTTGATTTTTGATTGTTGACTTTGTATCCAACTATGCTACTGAATTTGTGAAGTGGGTTTTTGTGTGTGTGTGTGTGTGTGTGTGTGTGTGTGTGTGGTCAGTTTTTTAACAGCACTCATCTTTTTTTTAATTTTAATTTTTTATTAGTGCATATTTGTTCTACAAGTTAATGGGTTTCATTTTTGCAATTCATACATTACATAATATTCTTTAATCATTTTCATAGCCTTCTTGCCCTGCCCTCCTTCCTAGTTTCACTTATTTGATTGTTTTGTCTTGTTTCCTGACAGGATCCTGCTCTGTTGTTTAGCAGGCCTTGAAATCAGGAAATAGCTGAAGCCGGCTTCAAACTTGCTGTAATCCTCCTGACTCAGCCTCCCACGTGCACCACCACACACCCAGCTTAGTTCACATTTTTGACAGGTTTAATGCATATAGCATAATTTGATCACATCCATCTCCTCATCAACCCACCCTTACACCACCCCCTTCTTCCTGTCCTCTTATCTAATAATGATCCCCATTCTACTTTCTTGTTGTCTTTTAGACTTGCACATAGGAAGAATATGAGACATTTGTTTTTTTTGTTTTTTTTTAAAGTGTATGGAGCCATCGCACAAAAAATCTGATAACTCTATAGACTCTGTCAGCAGGAACCATGTTTTGATGTGACTATCTGTGGTTACACTGTACAACTGACAAATGTAATCATTACCAGGAACAGTCACAGAAGACATTTGTTTTTCTGAGTTTGGCTTATTTTGCTGTATGTGATGATCTTAACAGCTATCTTTTTCTCTGAAAATGGCAGTTTCATTATCTATGGCTGAATAATATCCATTGTGTGTAGGTATATACATTTTCTTTTTGAATTCATCTCTCTATGGGCACCTGGGGTAGTGCATATTCAGTTATTATGAATGGTGCCACGTAAACATGGGTATGCAGGTGTCCCTGTGGTGTGCTGACTTTAATTCCTTTGAGTATATACCAAGATGTGCTATAACTGGATCACGTGGTAGCTTGGTTTTTAGTTGTGTTTTTTGTTTGTTTGTTTGGTTCAGTTTGGCTTTTTGAGAAAGGGCCTCAGTGTTCAGGCTGACCTGGAACTCACTGTGTGTCCTTGACCGGTCTCACCACAGTAGTCCTCCCAAGTCCTAGAATTACAGGCATACACCAGCACATCCAGCTGTGTTTTTAGTTTTATAAGGAACCTCCATAATGATTGCCATTATGTAGCTGTGCAGATTTACATTCCCCCACCAGTGTAGAAGAGCTCCCTCATTCCTTGCCAACATTAATTGTTTTTTGTATTCTTGATGATAGCCACTCTGACTGGGGTGAGATAGACTCTCAGTATAGTTTTGATTTGCATATCCCTAATGGCTAAAGATGCTGACCATTTTTGTGTATACAGGTATTGACTGTTTATACTTCTCTTAAGTTCTGTTCAATGCATTGATTGGGCTATCTGAGTTTCTGGTGTTGTGTTTCTTAAGTTCGTTATATACTCTAGATATTAATCCTATATCAAAAGAGTAGCTTCAGTAGAAGATTTTCTCCTATGTTTTGGGCTCTTTGTTCACTGTTTACCTTGCTGTGCAGAAACTTTTTAATTTGATGTAGTCCCATTTGCTGATTCTTGCTAGTATTTCCTGTACTGGTGGAGTCCTACTGAGGAACTGTGCCTATGCCTGTGACTGTGTTTCCCCGATATATTCTTCAGGCAGCTTCAAAGTCTTAGGTTGTTTATACCTAGGCTTTTGATCCATTTTGAATTTATTTTGTACAGGAAGAGAGATAAGGCTATAGTTTCAGTCTTCTGCAAATGGATATCCATGTCAAGTTTTTCAGCGCCATTTGCTTGGTTTGGTTTGATTTGGTTTGGTTTTTAGTTCCAGCTGTCCTTGAACTCACTGTGTGACCTTGGCTGGCCTCAAACTCAGTGATCCTCCTGCCTCAACTTCCTGAGTGGTAGGATTACAGGCATGAGCCACCACACCAGACTGTATAGTTCAGAAGGGCCTGGAATTCACTCCTGCCTCAGCCTCCTAAGTGCTTGGATTACAGATATGCACCCGACGCCCAACACCATTTGTTATTTTTGGCTTCCTTGTCCAGAATGAGATGGCTGTAATTTGCATGGATTTGTATAGGATCATATCATCTGTAAACAAAGATAATTTGTCTTCCTTTCCTATTTGTGTCCCTTTTATTCCTTTCTGATTCCTATTTGCTCTAGCTAGAAGTTTCAAGGACTACATTGAATATAGTGAGACTGGACAGCCTTTTCTTTTGGTGGGGTGGGGAGGTAGGTACCAGGATTTGAACTCAGGAACTCGATATTTGCTAGGCAGATATTATGCTGCCAAGCTAAATCTGTGGCTCTGGACATCTTTTTTTTGTTCCTGAAACACTGCTCATCTTGGAAAACTTCCGTCCTTACCAGTTTCATACTATGGAATAGTTTTAAATACTCTAAATATCCATGATTGTGAAAATTGGTAACTATAGTATTCTTCTAAACATTTCCTTAATAAAATAAAACAAACTAAAACAAGCTGGTGGTAAGTGTAATAATTTTGTAGTACTTTATTTCATTATGGCTTTACTGTGGAGGTACTGAATTACTGCTCATTTATCATGTCCTCACGCAAATCAGTCCTCTCCAGTCTCCGTTAGATGAAATCTAACATTATGTGATTTGCAGACTTAGGAAATTAGACTTAGTTTTCTTAGACATCCACTCATTGAAGCATCTGTTTTATGTGCCAGATGTTTTCTTGCCTTTAGGAAAGTTACATCCACTTACTTGCCAAGTCCTTTGACTTTGGTATGTTTAACTTAGAGTTACCCAATTTGCTTCTTTTTTCTTTTCCTAGTGCCTATCCGGTATCTGAACATTTTGACAGCTTCTGTTTCTGAATAGCTTTAAAAACATTTTAAAAAAATTTTTTTAGCCATTCTGTTTCCAGATGTAGCTCCTGCCGTATTCTCTTTCTTTCTTCTGTCTGTGACTAATTACACTTTAGGTCTTTTCTTTGTTTTGTCATCAACTTACTTGACTACATTAATCATGTTTTAAAGGCCATGCCTAATAACTCATGTATATCTGTTTCTAGTAGCTATCTTCCTCTGGACTTTTGGTCATTTGGGCTTTTCTTCTGACATGCTAGATAATTTATGTATAAAATATGAAGCTTTTGCTTCAATTTGTATGTCCAACTTGTAGACCACACGTTGGATATACCTACTGTCTTAGTTACTTTTTACTCGTTGCTGAGACGAAATACCCAAGTTGGGAAAGGAAAGGTTTATTTCTTACAGTTTTGGAGGTTTCAGTCCACACTCAGTTGGCTCCAAGGCAGGCGGGCATGGCTGGGCCACAGTTCATGGCAGCTGCAAACAGCAAGCAGGAACCAGCAAAGAGCAAGACACACCTTCTTCCTGCCATTACATCACATCCTGGCTCCACCCCTTTGTGGGTGGAGCACTGACACCATGAATCCAAGCACTAGACAATGAGCCAATCACAAATGCACAATGTAAACTCATGAGGCCTGGGGGACGCAGACATAAACCATGACACCTACTTTTTAATTTTTTTTTGAAATGGGAATCGAACTCGGGAACTTGTACTTGCCAGGCAGGTGTTGTGCTGCTGAGCTTTATGTCCAGTCCACTACACCTCATTTTTAAAGTAGTGATTTCTTCTTTCTAGGACTTTTCTTCATGCAGGCAGCTATATTGGGGGCATATTTCCTTCACAGTGAGGGCTACGTTGGTTAGAGGCTTCATTCTTTCCACTTCCCCTCTGTCTTCCTTAAGAATCACCTTCTAAGTGTCCCAGTGAAAACCTAGGGTACTTACCAGGGCCACTTCTCTGGGTGGGCCAGGTAGTACACTCTTTGTAAATCTTAGTCTCGGGGTACAACAGGAGGCTGTGCTCAGTTCTCAGCGTCTCAGCTCTTCCACTTGAGAATTTGGAAATTGTCACTGATGTTGAGTTCACCTTTCTTCTTTCCCTATGCTCTAGATAGTGGACCCTCAAGTTTCTTGCTGCCTGAGAACCTCTTCTTTCTTACGCAGATATTTAGATTTTTCTTATTATTGACAGCCTAGTATACTAAATCAGAGAGCACAATGCCACCATCTGTTGGGATGTAGTCTAACTGCGTGAAAGACAACAGACACTTAGCAGGGAACAGCAGGGAATTGAGACAGGGTCTTACTATGTAGTTTAGCCTGGCCTTTTAACTCAGTTGTGTAGTCAGGATCTCATGGTGATCCTCCTGCTTCAGCCTACCATGTGGTAGGATGACAGACATGTGCCACCATCTTCGGCTCAACAGAGACATTTTGAACTTTTCTTTGTTCTCAGTAGGAATGTTGGAATTATAATTGAAAGAGTTTTGGCCCAGACAGAACACTAGCCGGTGAAGCCTTAGAGGCGGAACCAAGAAGTTCCTATCTCCCCCACCCCTAGGAATTTACCTATGGCGCCAAAGACCAATGGGCTACCCGTGCATCCCTGATGCCTCCCCTTAGGTTCCACCCCAAACCGAGGTTACTTATATATCCCCTCCATGCCATGTATCCGCCAGAGAGAAAGCCGTACTTCAGTGGTTCGGGGTGGTTTGGTTTTCTCTCTCCAAGTTCTTAGAATAAAGGCCTCTTTTGTTTTATACTTCTCATCTTTTGGATGTAATCTTATCAATAATTTTGAACCTGTTTTATGTATATTGTAGGAACAATAGGCTAACCTTATTAGAACCAGGGTTTTCACTGTAAAAGAGATTTTAAAAATATAAAAGGAAAGGATAAGTTAATGCCAAATGTGACTAGTAATACCAGTATGAATTGATTTTTTTTTTTTTTTTGGGTCTTTTTTTGAGACAGGGTCTCACTATGCAGTTCAGACTGGCCTTAAGCTCACTTTGTAGCCCAAACTGGTTTTGAACTCGCAAAGATCCTCCTCGCTTGACCTCCTGTGCTGGGATTACAGGCATACACCACCACGCTCAGCTGAGTTTTTGTTTTTGTTTTTTTTACAGGGGGATCAAACTCATGACCTCTCACTTAGATGCTGAGCTAAACCTCCAGTCCTTGGATTTATGATTTTAAAAAATACATATTTCCTACCTATCTCCAGTGAAAGGGCATAGAGGTATTGACATTCAATAACAGTGAGCATACCTATGTCCCAGAACTTGCTTCTTAAAATGAACCATTGCTTGGATGTCTTAGTTACTTTTCTCATTATTGAGAGGAGGAGGAGGAGTTTATTGTAGCTCACAGTTTGTAGCTGGATGGCTCTAAGGCAGAGTGCCTTGGCAGAACAGCACAGCGGAGGAGAAACTGTTCACTGGCAGGCAGGAAGTAGCAAACAGCAGCTGTCCTCTCTCTGTCCCTTATCAGGCTACACGCCCTTAAGGTAAGTAGCAGCCACACCCAGGGAGGGCCTTCCCATTACCCACACCCAGAACTAGGCCAAAGGAATCAACAGATTAATCTAGTAAAAGCAACACCCCCTGCTCCTAGCATTATACACTTAACCCCAGGGTCACACACACCTAGACCCAGCCACCTCTGAAAAGCCCCACCCATGACCACGTGAGGCCTTAGGGGGACATCTGGACATAAGCTATACATTAGAGAAGTGCTATTTCCAGGGCCATGATAAGGAAAGCATAAGGTGAGTCAAACAATGTTGCTAGGAAGCAACGAATTGCTTGAGGACTAGTGAGTCATGTCAAACAGATGCTGGTTTGAAGAGTGCTGCCACTGGCTAAATTTGGCACAAACTGAGTATTAAAGTAAATATTGGGCCAGGGATATAGCTTCTGAGGCAGGAGGATCACCATGAGTTTGAGGCCAGTTTGGGCTACGTAGCAAGACCCTGAGTAAGATAAAATATTTTAAAAAACAAGTAATTGGGGCCAGAGATACAGCTCAACAGCACAAGTGCCTGCCTGGCAAGTGTGAGGTTGTGAGTTCGATCCCTGGTACCAAAACATAAATAATAGAGTCTGGAATAGTAGAGAAGAAGAAGCAGAGAAAACTTATGTTTTTATAGAAGCTGTGCAGTAAATACAGAAGAAAACAGATTCAGAAATTCATTGTTTTAGTTTATAACCTCAATACAATTGATTCAAGCAAGGATCATCAAAAATGAATTCTAAATCATTGGGTGAAAGATTATGAAAAGCAATATACTGATGAGTAGAAATTTACAAGGTTTAATCGAAATATATGGTAAATGTTTAAATTTTTAAAAGATTACAGTAAAAGACACATTGCCATTAGTCCCTTCAAAATGTTTCTCCTTGTCACTTTTCAAAGCAATTCTGAAAGTCCTCTTTTATGAGTGTCTTTACAGGAGTGATTAAAAATAACAGTGGTACTACCAGGTAAAAACAGACTGGTAAACATTATGGTTGGTCATCCATTTTATTCACCAGAGCTGGTACCCTGTGACTTCTGGGTCTTTCAGAGTCAAAATGAAAGGCAAACATTTTTTTTTTTTACTCTATTTTTTTTTTGTCTTTTTCCTTTTTATCGGTACCGGGGATCGAACCCACGACTGCCTGCTTGCAAGGCAGGCGCTTATGCCGCTGAGCTAAATCCCCAGCCCCAAGGCAAACATTTTTAATTGATTGAGAACATAAGTGCAACAGCAAAAACAGCATAACTACTTTTACTGCCTTAACCAAATGATCCATTTGATTTTGTCTATAATATAATGGTTCCTCTTACTATGATTTAGTAAGATACAGATATTCACAGTGTATTCCTGCTGTGAGTAATTAGTTCACATTGTAAGGTAAGTCCCACGTGTGAGATGATTTATCACTAGCCTGGACTTAAATCAAAACTCATTGTCACTGGAAGCAACGTTGAGGGGAAAGAGTCAGGGGAAATAATCTCAGTTATTGAAGAGATCTAATCAAAATGGGTATAAATTTTAATCAGAAAGAGAAAGGCAAAAAGTGGTATTTTGATTGACAGTTGGAAGCATTAAGTATCCTGTTAGATGACACAGTGGGATGGGGCTAACTTTATGGTACAGTGAAGGTAGACAGAGAATATTTTTGTTTTTAGGAGATGCACACTGAAGTGTGTGGGAGCCAACAGGAAAACATGGCAAATGTTGATAATTGATGAATTGTGGTGAAGGATATACAAGAGTCTTTTGTACTACTCTCTTGGCTTTCATATAGGTTTGAAAATCTTCAAACGAAAAAGAGGGGCTTAGGGATACAGCTCAGCAGCACAGCGCCTGCCTGGCAAGCATGAGGTCCTGAGTTCAGTTTCTGAACAGATAAAAAAAAAAAAAAGTTGTGGAGAAGCTACCTTAAATTATATGTAATTAAGATAACGTTACTAGTCATGGTACTTTACTGCTATGTTAACATTGTTAGGCTGTTGGTTTGTCCATCGGCTGACACAGATGGTTTTAGTTTGTGGAAGGGGTTTGACTGTGCTTGATGTGCCTTTTCACAGGTGCCCTGGAACACTATGTTAGTGGCCTGGACCTGGTAAACAAGAAGCTGCCTTATGGCCTTGCTCAGATAGGAGTGTGTTTTCATCCTGTTCCTGGCACCAATGAGCTCCCCAGTGGTGTTAAAAGGTATAAAATGTGGCAAACACCCTGGCTTTGTATTTACAGAGGTAACAACCAGACCTTTTAGCGTAGATTTTATAGCTTCAGATATGCTAACTGAAATGTTTCTGCTGTCTAAAGAATTGGTGAGAAGACGGAAGCCTCGTTGGTGTGGTTTACTTCTTCGAGGACCTCAAGCCAGTGGCTTGATTTCTGGTTGCATCATCGGCTGCTGTGGTGGAGAAAGGTAGCCTAATGAATTTAGTAGTTAACACACAAGTTTTCTTAATGTGTCCAAGGTAATGCTCTTGTATTATAAATGAAATCTGACTTGATACAGCTATGTCATATTTGTAAAGATACAGCTGTAGTAAATCAACAAATACAAGTTAAAAACGTCATAATGATTTTCATTGTTCCAAGCAACAGGCCTACTTTAGTGAAGACATTTGTTGTACCCAGATGCTTTTGTTCATAAGCCTTTATGTTCAAGGTAGAGTTCTTTTTTTTTTTTTTTTGTCTTTTTCGGTTTTTTTAATCGGTACCAGGGATCGAACTCACGACTGCCTGCTTGCAAGGCAGGCGCTTATGCCGCTGAGCTAAATCCCCAGCCCCCAAGGTAGAGTTCTAACCCCTCACCAGGCATTTTGGCTCATGCAAAGTTTGACCATTGCCCACTCTAACAACTTCAGATGTTGGTTCCTCCCTCCGTGAGCTCTCCATTTTAGTCAAAATGGTTGATTTAAAATCAAGCTTTAGTAAGTATATACTTATAAGAGCTAAAGTAAGCATTTTTGTACTGGTGTCCTATCTTTTTCCAAGTCTTTTTTTTTTTTTTTTTTTTTGTAGTACTGGGAATTAAACCCAAGGCCTTTGCACTGGTGAGTATTTCCAGACCAGTTTAAAAAATTTTTGAGACCCACTCTTGCTAAGTTGCCCAGGCTGGTGCCAAATTTGTTGTCTTCCTGCCTCAGCCTCCCTGAGTGCTGGGATTGCAGCCTTGTGCCACCACACTGCTTTCCAACTCTTAAAAAATCCCCAAACTCACAGGCTGGGGATTTAGCTCAGCAGCATAAGCGCCTGCCTTGCAAGCAGGTGGTCGTCAGTTCAAGCCCCAATACTGATAAAAAAAAAAAAAAAGAAAGAAAGATACCATGTTTACCCTATTTAGTTCATGATTAACTTCCCCTCTTATCAATGGCCACAAAAAGATTAGATGGCATCAATAGTTTTTTTAATAGTTTCTTAAGACAAAAACCAATATGTTTAATAGAATACTCATACATAATTAAATTTCACAGCTTTTATTTGACACTTGACTAGTTGCAATCAGTTGCTGGCTAAACAGTCTTAACAGCTTCAATTCTTAGAAATGATTACAAGATTTGAGGTAAGTTAGTGTTTATTTTAATGAGTTTTAAGACAAATTTTCTTTTCCAGTTTGCCATGAGTCCATCTAACTTCAGCAGTAGTGATTGTCAGGATGAAGAAGGACGAAAAGGGAACAGACTTTACTACAGTTTTCCCTGGGGAAAGGAGCCAATAGAAGTGATTTGGAATCTGGGTGACAAAGAACTCTTACACATGCATCCTGGAGATGTGTCTAAACTACACGTATGTTTTACTTTGAGCTTCTCTGTGTTGTTTATGTGTTCATGTCTGAACTAGTTCACAATAATTACAGGCATGGAGTCCTGTGACCCCGTAATACCTTGATATGTCTCTTTCAGGTGACACAGTACAGTCATCAAAGCCAGGAGATTAACAGTAATCCTCTTTTACTATTCGGTCCACAGTGCCCTTCAGATTTAACTGATTACCCAGTAATGCCCTTTGTAAGTCTGATACCCAATCAGTATCACATATTTCGTGCATCGTGATTTCATTACTCTCCGTCACGTGAACAGTTCCTACTCCTCCACGATCTTGATACCTGTGACAAGTGCAGGCTTGTTACTTTGTAGGACGTCTCTTGTCAAGGATTGGTTCTTCCTCCTTGTGCTTCTGTATTTTTCTAGGAACAATAGAGAAGCAGTTCCACCCTCATCCCAGTGCATCATTAGAAATTACAGGTATCAGTGCCTTCTTGAAAATGTTGACACTGATGTCTGTGCTTTGCTTTTCAAGTTTTGTTTTTGTACCAGAGATCAAACTCACAACCTTACATTTGCCAAGCAGGCGCTGATGCCACTGAGCTAAATCCCCTGCCCCAATACTGACTATTTGGTAACACAGTGTCTATTAGGCTTCTCTGATATAAAGCTGATTAAGACATCTTTTGTGGGCAGATACTTTAAAAGACTATGCACATAACCTCTTTGTCACCAGATTTTAATTTCCAGCTGGGGACTCCAGTGATGATTCTTGCCCAAATGAATTATTGCATTTGTGCTTTGTTTTGGTTTTTCAGTAATACTATCATTCCTTCTAGATTTATTGGTTAGCACTATGCTACCAGGTAGGGATTTCCCTTCTTCCCCATTTATTTTTTATGTTGCTATGGACTCTCAGATTTCTATTTTTTTCATAGGATTATAATCTGTTACTGTAATTATCTATTTTGATATTCAAATTGTCCTAAACTTGGCCAGTATCCTTTTCAATACGTTCTTTATTCTCTGTACTAGTAATTCAGTAATTTGTTTTACACACACATACATGTGCACAGAGGTAAATCGCCTAGCCCTTACCCTGACCTGCATCCCCAGCCTTCTTTTTTGAGGCAGGATCTTACTAATCACCCAGGCAGGTCTTGAACTTGCAGTCTACCTGCTTCAGCTCCTAGAGTGCAGGAATTACAGACCTACATCACCACCACTTCTTACTTTTTATAAGAATAAACGGTTAAAAGATCATTTAATATTTTCTTGACCTAGGCGTAGAGCCATCCATTTCTGCAAGGACCCTTGGTTCCTACTAAAGGAAACTTTATTCATACACTGCAGTTGGCTGTGAAGTGTACTCTTTTAACCAGCTAGTGCTGTTTCTAGGCCCTCTCACGGACACAACTATGAAATGCTATACATGTCTACAAATAGTTACACAGACTTTTATTTTGGTTGTGTTGATACTAGGCATTGAACCTACATGTGATAGGGTGTTACTTTGTAGTTCTAACTGGCCTTAAACTCACTATGTAGCCCAAAATGGCCTTTATCTTGCACTGATCCTCCTGCCTCAGCCTCTGAGCACTGAGATTACTGGTGTGTAACTGGCTTTTTTTTTTTTTTTTTTTTTTTTTGAGACAAGGTCTTGCTAAATTGCCCAGGCTGGGCTTGAATTTGTAGTCCCTCTGCCTCAGTTTCCCTGAGTACTGGCATTGCAAGTGTCAGCCACCATGCCTAGCTGCTTTTCATTTCTTGTATACAGCCAATGTCCCTGTCATGCTTTGGCAAAGATAGCCCCGATACACCAGTCGTCCTAGCCTCACACTGTGGATGGAGGCTTTTGGCCCAGGGGAAAGAAAGAAGAGAGGCCAGTTTGGAAACTTCCTCCTGGACATGGTGGTCCCTACAGCCTCCTTTTCCTAACTGTTCTCACTAGCCCACAGGAAAGGGGAAAGGCAGTTAGAACTCAGCCTTTCTCTCCCAGTCGCACCCGCCAAAAGTCTAGCCCTGGACTTCCCAGGCTGGAAGTACCTGCCCCCTGCTCAGAAGCTCAGAGCCGGCAAGGGGAACAACCAGAAGCACAACCAAGTTTTCAAAAATGTGAGCAAACGATATAATTCCTTGGAAGAAGGAACCTTGCCTAAAACTACATATTTGGAGAAGAGGATTAGTGCTCTGCGGCCCAAGTGGTTCCAGATTTGACTGTATTTGATTTTCATAGATGGAGGGTTTTTTTTTTAATAGATAAGTTTTAGTGTACTTTTTTGGGGGGTTTAGGAGGTGTTTGTTTGTTTTGGTTATTTGACATAGAGTCTCACTATGTAGTTCAGGCTGGCCTTGAGCTCACTTCGTAGCCTGGGCTGGTCTCAAACTCACAATGATCCTCCTGCCTCAGCCTCCTGAGCGCTGGGATTACAGGCATGAGCCACCACACTTTGAAAAATTTTTTTTGTTTTTGTTTTGGTACTGGGGCTCAAACTCAAGACTTGTACTTGGCAGGTAGGCTGTGAGCTAAATCTCCAGCCTTTAATGTACTGTTTTATGGCTAATGGTCTTCCACAAGCACTTGAAACTTGAAAATACTATAATAAGGAAAACAATAAATTGAATATTTCTTTTTTTTTTTGGTCTTTTTTCATTTTTATCGGTACCAGGGATCGAACTCACGACTGCCTGCTTACAAGGCAGGTGCTTATGCCGCTGAGCTAAACCCCCAGTCCCAATTGAATATTTCTTATCTTCAATGTTCGAGAGTAGAAATGTTTTGATTTTGGAATATTTGCATGCAAATAATGAGATGTCTTAGAGGGATAGGACCTGAGTAGAAACACAAATGTTTATTGGTGTTCAGTGTTCCTGTGTTTTGACTTCCACCCACCACATGAAGTCAGGGGTGGAATTTTCCACTTGGGTGTCATGTACATCTTTAAATCTTCAGATTTAGAAGATTTAGGTTTTTTTTTTTTAATTTTATTTAAGGAGAAAAAAAAAAAAACAGAAAAAGGGTAAAAGTTATACAAAATTTCAGAAAAAATAAACAGTAGGAATTCACTAGTTACTTACATATTGTCATTTTAGAAATAGTTGTTCAAGTTACAAAATTAAAACATATAGAGGGGACTTTCAAACAGTGAGACTACAAACAGTTTTGTTCAGTGATCCAACAAAACTCAGCAATATGATTATCTATCTTATACTCTTAAATATATATGCAGTTATGTCTTTTATAGAACTTTCAGATTTGGGGTTTTCAATTAGGAATGCTCAATTTATAGTTCATACACAGTGAATACAATGATTAACTTAAATATGAGCAAAAAAACCAAACGAATTTGTAATTTTATATCTGTTTGGCCAGACCTAAATGTGTAAACTTATTATTATTATTATTATTATTTTGTCTTTTTCATTTTTATCAGTACCGGGGATCGAACTCACAACTGCCTGCTTGCAAAGCAGGTACTTACGCCGCTGAGCTAAATCCCCAGCCCCTTAAATGTGTAAACTTAAGGAAGCTGTGTCAGTTAAGTGATGCTGTGTTGTGCTCTCTTTGTGAAGGGCCGCGATGGGCGGAGACCGGTGGTCCCTTCTGTCATCTCTGTAAGCGGGGACCTAGACCGAGGCATGCTGGCTTACCTCTACGATTCTTTCCAGCTCACAGAGAATTCTTTTACCAGAAAGAAAAATCTTCATAGAAAGGTGCTTTTGATATTTCGGAGATAAACTGGTGAATTAAACATCTGGCTGGGGTTTTTCCCATTTTTTATGTTAATTGTGCTTCCCTTCTTTCCATAATTGCCCTAGGTACTTAAACTTCACCCTTGTTTAGCCCCTATTAAAGTTGCTTTGGATGTGGGAAGAGGTCCAACTGTGGAGCTGAGACAGGTGGGTTAAAGGAGTTTAAACGTCATGATTTTAAGTGCATACTTAGAGTCTCAACACTTTTGGAGGCTGAGGCAAGAGGATCACAAGTTCAAGTACTGCCTGTGCAATTCCACAAGACCTTGTTCAAAATGAAAAATAAAAGCAACGGGAGCTGGCGTGGTGGTGCAGGCCTCGTCCCAGCACTCGGGAGGCTGAGGCAGGGGGATCACTGTGGGTCTGAGACCAGCCGGGACTACAAAGTGGCTCAAGGCCAGCCTGAATTGCTTAGTGAGACAGTCTCAAAAAGACAGGAAAAAAAAAAAAGGCAGCTGGGATGTAGCTCAGTCGTAGAGCACCTCTGGGTTTGATCCTCCATACCACCAAATAATAATAATTTTATATGTAATCATCACTAAGTAAACTTGGTAATTCTGATTAATCAGATTTTTAAAATAAATAATGGAACTATGGATAAGGGTTGTGTAATTAGAGACAAGTTAAAGTATAACATGTTAAGAAGCTGAATACAAGCCGGGCATGATGACTCACACCTGTAATCCCAGCACTAGGGAGGCTGAGGCAGGAGGATCATTGCAAGTTTGAGACCGGCCTGGGCTACAAAGTGAGCTCAAAGCCAGCCTCAACTGCATAGCGAGACCCTGTCTCAGAAAAGACAAAAAAAAAAAAAAAAAAAAAAAGCTGAATACAGTTCAGTGGATTTTGGTGTTAACAGTTATCTCCACTCCATTTCTTTTTTTTTTTTTTTTTGGTACCGGAGATCAAATTCACAACCTCACACTTACAGGTAGGTGCTGTGTCACTGAGCTATATCCCTGGCCCTCAGTTTCATTTGAATGTATTTACATAGTTTTACCATGAAAATGTTTGTTCAGATGCCTGGTGACTTTCCCCTTTCCCTTTTAACCTAAACTTTGATGTTTGTTTCAGCACTGGAGGTCAAACCCAGGGACTCCCCACCACTCGGCTACATCCTCACCCCACACACACCCTCCTTTTTGAAATAGTCTCATTACATTGCCGAGGTGAAGCAATTTTTACTTTTTTTTTTTTGAGACAGTCTCCTTGTGTGTTTAGGCTGGCCGGAACCTCACAGCAATCCTTTTACAATCCTTTTGCCTCGGCCTCCTACATGCTAGGTTCCAGGTGTGCACCTGAGAATTTTGTTGTCTAGTCAATCTGGTCTAATCATTATAAATTCTTGAGAAAAACCAGGGAGCTGGTTTCTGTAGCAGTTGTTGGGCCTGAGTAAGAACCCTGAAGGCTTGGAGTGCCCCAGCTCTCCCTGGCTCCTGGGAAGGCGGTGACAGCAGATTGAGCAGAGAGAAAACCGTGGCCCCGTGCCCCTGCACCCGGGGCTGCAGCTGGCTCCACCACACATTTGATCTAGCAGGTTTCAGAGTTGGAGAAGCAGTGCTGTAACTCAGTCACCGCCACCAAAGAAGGGACTTTGGGTAATATCCAGAGTCACTTCTGGTCATCACAAGGTGCAGAGGTGGGGTTGCCACAGGCATCTGATGGTGGCCAGGAGGGCTGCTGACTGACCTTCCAGGGTCCAGGGTCCACTCCGCTGAGCTGGAGTGGCTGCAGCGCAGGGCCCTCGTCTATTTGCTGTCTGGGACTGCAGAGGGAGCCGGGGCTACCTGTGCCAGGCAGGTGTTCTGACCGCCCCACAGCGGGGACACTGAATTCTGCTGTGATGTTGCTTTTTATTATTTATTTATTTATTTTTTATCGGTACCGGGGATTGAACTCACGACCGCCTGCTTGCAAGGCAGGTGCGTATGCCACTGAGCTAAACCTCCAGCCCCCTGATGTTGCTTTTTAAAAACTAAGTTTTCCTGTATCGTTTATGTATTACTATTTTTGTGTTTCCAGTCAGGCTTCTGTGTCCAGCAGTGCACTGAAACTAATGAGTTTTTCTCTGGAAAGACTGATTCTGTAGTTGGTTTCTCCAGAAAGATTTGCATAGTTGGTTTCTGGGATACTAAACAACAGTTGGAATTTTTCGTTTTGTTTTGTTTTGTTTTGTTTTTGAGGCAGAATCTTGCTGTGTATTCTAGGCTGGTCCTGAACTCACTATGTTGCCCAGACTGGCCTCAAATTCATAATGATCCCCCTGCCTCAGCCTCCAGAGTGCTGAGCTTATGGTGCTGTGGCCAACCCTGGCCTCTTACGTGTTTCTTTTCTGGCTCTTCCTCCCATTCCAGACATGGATGTGATAACCTGAGAGCTCACTTTTCATCTCTCACTTGAGTTTGGAGTTTCATATATATCTTTGAAGGCAGCTTTTTTTTTTTTTTTTTCTTTTTATCGGTACCGGGGATCGAACTCAGGACCACCTCCTTGCAAGGCAGGTGCTTATGCTGCTGAGCTAAATCCCCAGCCCCAGCTTTTTTTTTTTTTTTAACAATCTGTTTTGGATATTTTGTGTTTTGAACAATGATTATGACAGAATTTCTTATTTAGTATAAAAATATCTAGAAGATACTGAGTTTTCAGTGGTTAAGTTTAATTTATAAAGCATACAAGTATAAACTATAAACATTGGGCTGGGGATTTAGCTCAGTGGCATAAGCACCTGCCTTGCAAGGAGGCGGTCATGAGTTTGATCCCTGGTACCAATAAAAATAAAATAAAATAAACTATAAACATTAGTATTGCATAGCTAAAGGGATTTATGCTCATTTTAGAGACTGAAAAGGATGACTTGTAAACCAGGCCCGTGACACACACCTGTAATTCTAGCCACTTGGAAGCTTGAGGCAGGAGGATTGTGACTGGAGGCGGTGGGTCCCTGTCTCCATTTAAGGAAGCAAAATGGGCTGCTGGGGGGTCTGCCCCAGCTGGCCGGCCGGTACAAACAAGGGACTTGTGTTTTCACAGAAATAGGAAGCGGGGTACTATTGGGAGGTTTTTGTGTTTTTCTCCAGGTTTGTCAAGGGCTATTTAATGAATTACTAGAAAATGGAATCTCTGTGTGGCCTGGTTATTTGGAAACTGTGCAGTCCTCACTGGAGCAGCTTTATTCAAAGTAAGATAATTTATCTTTCTAGTCATTAAAAATTATTGTATTCACTGTTTGATTGTATATATCTCTTTAGTTTATGATAACAGAAATAAATCTCTTAAATATATATGAAATTCAAATTATTCTTCACTTTTCCTTTTACAGAGCCCTGTGCCCTTAATTAATTGTTATAGCACAAAATAATACCCAGCAGGTATATTTGAGTACATGCTATGTGCATTTCCAAGGCATAATGTCATGACGCAGCCCACGTTTATTCACCACTGAAGTTAGGTACAGAAGGTGCATTTGTTGAATCAGGACTGAAGGAACGTGACCCGAGTCCCGTTGAGCAGAGGTCTGCCGTGGAGGGCAGAGGACTTGCCTCAGTGAGTGGCATGGCCCTCTCCCTGACTGCTCTGGGCTGAAACTGGCTGCTTCCTACTGCTCATCCCTAACCTGGAAGTTCCATCTGAGATGCTCTAACATCTGAAACCCTCACGTGACAGGGTCTAGTCAACATACAGGTGCACAACAGTAGTAGATGAAACTCCCTTCGGGCAGTGTGTATAAGGTGTAGGTGAAAGGTAAGAGCCAGGTGTGGGGCGCACATCTATCCCAGCCCTGGGGAGCGGGGCGCAGAAGGACTGCTGCCAGTTCAAGGCCCGCCTGGCCTGTGTAGCGAGTTCAGGACAGTCTGGATTTTTTATTTGTTGAGACAGGGTCTGGCTCTGCAGTTCAGCGTATCTCTAAATTCATGCAAACCACTTTGCTTCTTGCAGACAGTAGCTAAGATAAGGTCACTAATATCTTTTGTCTGGATAATTGAAATAATCTTCTATTTGTCTCTGCCTGTAATCTTGCTTGTGTGCTGTCTCATCAATTTTTTTAAACAAAGTAATTGTTTATTTTTATTTTTCTAAAACCTTTTGTGTTGAACACATGCCTTCTGGGTAAAAGTCTGAAGCTTTTTATTTTGCTCTTCAGTTCTCTAGGAGCTTGTTAAAATATACTTTTCAGACAATGTCTACAGAAAAATAGTGTTTGTTTTGTTTGTTTTAGTACTGTGGATCAAACCCAGGGGCTCTCTCTACTGTTACATCCCCATTTTGTTTTGAGACAGTTTCTCTAAGTTCTCCTGCCTCAACCCCCTTAACTGCTGGGATTTGCAGGCATGAGCCACTACACTCAGCTAAAAAATATGTCTCTACATATAAAAATAAAGCATATATAAAATGAAGGGGTGGGACTTAAGCTTTCTAATCTTCACAGGGTCTAAAATCTTATCCTTTGATGTAATCAAGTTTTATTTGTTCTTTTTATTGTTTAGGTTTTGTTGTCTCAAGATATTTGTGTTGAAATATTTATTAAGCACCTACTATATCTTTTGTACTTTGACATGATAGTAGATGAACATGACAGGAAGCTTACAGTCTAGCAGGATTAAAAAGACAATAAAAACTAAACAGATAAAGCTGGGCATGGTGGCACACGTTTATAATCACAGCGCTCGGGTGGCTGAGGCAGGCCGACATTGAAGTTCAAGACCAGTCTGAGCTACAAAGTGCGCTCAAGGCCAGCCTGAACTGCATGATGAGACCCTATCTCAAAAAACAGACAAATAAAAAGCTAATCTAAAAAGAAGTGTTCTTACATTACAGTTTAGGTTCCAAAAGACTGACGCTGTTATGAGGTTCATAAGTAACAACACACTAAAGGGTAAAAGGCTTATTTATTTCTCAAGCTTAATTTCCGTTATGACTTTCTAGTTATGCACTGTTAGAAACTCCCCAGAAATTTCACTTTGAACGTAATTCAGAAGCAGAAGAGCTGAGTATCTCTGATCCAGTCCTGAAGCCCTGACATGGGGCTCATGGTGAAAGCGACAGACCCTGCGGCAGGGAAAGCTGGGAGTGCGGGTTCTGACACCTGCCGCTCGTGCTCACGTGCTTTTGTGAAACTCCTTTTCTCTTAGATATGATGAAATGAGCATCCTCTTCACCATTTTGATTACCGAAACTACTTTGGAGAACGGATTGATACAGCTGAGAAGTAGAGATACCACAATGAAGGAAATGATGCATATATCAAAGTTAAAAGACTTTTTAATCAAGTATATATCGTCAGCTAAGAATGTATAGGTTTTCATATTTATATAATAAACATTCTCCTTTGCTCATTTGTCACATGTTGATTTACTTTTGGGGGGGTTTTGGTTTTTTTTGCTTTGTCTTTTACCCTTAAGAAGTAGACATTTTTGGTACTTTCCTTGATTCATTTTTTTCATTATCCTTTTAATGTATTCCATTGTGTCAAGAGTATGTCAAACTACAAGAAACAAAAATCCTGCTTCACTGGATTAAGCGAGTTGGGGTTTGTTTTTCTTGTATAACACAAAATTCAAGGGAGAGACTGTCCCAAACGGTAGACTGTTTATTCTCCAGTTAGGGACCCAGGCACCTTATTTCTGTTGTACTATCTTTCTGTACATTCGATATCAAATCCAGAGATTTGGCTGGTTTATAATTCCCCTTTGAGGGAATGACAATGTTTCTTAAACAGTTGTATTCTGTATCAGGGGGCCTTAATGTTTGATTATTTCTTTTTTGGGGTTGCTGGCAACCATCAATACCTAGACTGATCAGTTTATTAAATTTGCAAAAATAGTGATATTCTAAAAAATAAAATAAAGTATAGTGATATTCTGTATCTGCTGTCTTCATTTGTTAGTGATAGTACTTCGACAAAGTAAAACTTCTTAGGGACCAGGGATTTAGCTCAGTGGTGTAAGCACCTGCCTGGCAAGCGCGAGGTCATGAGTTTGATCCCCAGTACCAAAATAAAAGATGCTGTCAAAGTCAAACTTCCCACCTCTTGTGTGCTTACCTAGAGGTACAAAAGGGATCCGTGCAGGGTCTGCTGCTTTGCTTTACAGCAGGGTTCCTGCTGATGCTCCTCGCATCCCATCTTTGGCTGATAGGAACCTCTCGGGCTCAGTCATTCTGACAACCTTCAGTGGTCTTTGATAGTACCCCTGCTGACTCCTGTCCCTGAAGAGATTGTATATTGCTGTGTTTCTCCATCGAAACCTGGTTCCTCTTGGAAGCCACACTGGATATGGGATGCTCACTGATCAAAAGTGGTCTCTGTAGGCTTTTTTAGGGTTCCAAGCTAGCAAATGCACAAGTGTGTGTGTGTTTCCCTTCTAAAAAAGTTAATCATAAGTTCACACTAATACTTTGAATTCAAATTCAGGATAACCTGGTTTTGGGTTTAATCGTTTTTGTTTCTGTTTTATAGTTAAAACCCAGTGCCTTATGCGTTGATGGACAAGCACTGTACCTCTGAGAATCACCTTCCACCATAATCACTTTTATTAAGATATAACTTATATGTAATAAATTTGCCTATTTTAAATGCACAAATTGATGTTTTTGTTTTGGGGTTTGGGGGGGGGGTTGTTTTGTTCTTGTTTTGTAATTCAGGTTGGCCTTGAACTCACTGTGTGTCCCGGCTGGCCTGGAACTCCTAGTGCTCCTCTTGCCTCAGCCTCCCAAGGGCTGGAACTATAGGCTGAGCCACCATGCCTGAAAAATTGATAAATTTTGACAGGTACATAACCGTTATGAAAATGACAGCATAGAAATTTTCCATCATCCCAAAATGTCCCTTCGTGCCTTTTCAGGACTGTTAGGTTTACCTGAGAGCTGCAAACCTAACTAGTTTTGACAGAATTTCTCTCCAACCCAACTGTTTGCATTTATGTGTGTACGTATGTGTTTGTATGTTTGTTTATTTTGGTTTTGTGAGACAGAATCTCTATGTAATTCAGACTGGTGTTGGACTCTCTGGGTAGCTTGGGTTGACCTTGAACTTACAGCAGTCCTCCTGCCTCAGCTTCCCAGTTACTGGGATTACCTATCCCAGCCTCCAACTGCTTTTAATACATTTGTTACCCTAAATTTTTTTTACAAAACAAAACTTTATTTATAAAGAAATTTTGTAAAATTTATTTTTATTTCTCTCACTGTTACACAATACAGATATACTTCAGAAGATGTTGTTATAAACAGTCCATGAATTGAGCTCACTGATTGAGCTGGAAGGATGTCCTTGAAGACATCTGTTTCCTATTAACCCTAACCCTAACCCTCATGAGGAAGCATAGAAATCTCTCAATTTTATGAATTGTATTTCTTCTGAATAACAGGTCTGTTAATACATGTAGCCAGCCCTCTGTATGCACAGGTTAAATCTCATAGGTTGGTTCAACCAACCACAGACTGAAAAAATTTGCTTCTGAGACTGGGGATTTCACTCAGTGTCCTAAGTGATATCTGGCAAGTGCGAGGTCATGAGTTCGATCCCCAGTACCAAAAAAGAGAAAATTTTGCATCTCTCCTAAATATAGACTTTTTGCATGTTATTTCCTAAATAATGTAACATTAAAAAATAATGTAACAATTTAGAAGCAATTACACTGTAAATATCTAGAAATAATCTGAGGTATGCAGGAGGAGCAGGTATGGTGGCTCACACCTGTAATCTTAGTATTCACGAGGCTGAGACAGGAGGATTGCTTTGGGTTTGAGGCCAGCCTAGGCTGCATAATGAGTTCAGGATCAGCCTAAATTACAAAGTAAGACCCTGTCTTTTTTAAAAAATGAAAAAAAAATATGCACAAGAGGATTACATAGTTCCTATGTAAATACCATCATTTATCTAAGCATCTGGATTTTGGCATCGGAGGGAAGTGCTGGAGCCCAGGCCCTGCGGGTACCAAGGGTCAGCCTTGTACTTTGCGTACCTAAGTTTAGGCGTCGGGAAACAAAAGAGACAAAGTGCTTCTCGTGGTGGTGGAACAGGCAGTGAGCAGGTAAGAGCGGTGCCAGCCAGCTGCAGATAGTGCTGTGGAGGAAGCAGATAGGATGGGCTCAGTAATGGCTAGGCTAAGGTGCTCTATCGAGGTGGCCATGCGAGACCTCTGAGGAGGCACTGGTGTGGCCTGGGGCAGCACTGGGCAGAGGGGCTGGTGTGTGCTAAGCCCCTGCCCCAGAAAGGTGTGGGGTGACCTGGAGCAGGAAGGCTGGGGTAGTGAGCAAAGTGGACACGGGTGATTTTGGCTTATAGTTTTCCAGCTTTCAGTCAGTTCACGGTCAGTGGCCCCAGTGCTTTGGCCCACGGCAAGGCCGAGTAAGTATCAAGGTAAAGAGTGTAGCCAGGCAGCGCAGCTTCCCTCCTCATAGAGAAGGGAGAAGGGGCTGTGTTCCCATGATGCCCTGCGAGGGTGGGCCCCCATCCTTGACCTGTTTCCTCCAGTAGGCCCCACCCCCAGTGCTCTGCCTCCCTAGAGCACCATGAGCTGAGGATGAAGCTATTAGCACAAGGTCTTTCAGGGCCATTGAAGACCCCCAAGCCATTAACAGCCTAGGTAACACTGGCCAAGACAGAGAGGATGATGCCTCTTCTTAAAATTTGAGATAGGGTCTCATTAAGTTGCCCAGATTGGGTTTGAACTTGCAGTTCCCCAGCCTCAGCCTCCCGGAGTGCTGGGATTACATGCATGCACCACCACCTTGCTGCAATCCCCTTCTTGAACGTGGTAAGAGGAACACCTGCCCAGAACCCCGTACTTGACAGGGTCATGCTCTGCCCTCTCCCCAACTGTGCCTTCACCACGGGCTGTCTGTGGGCCAGCAAGACATGTCCAGAGTTGTGAAACTCTCAGGTATGCAAGTCTATAAATTTAAGAACCTGTGGAGAGCTCAGCATCTGGTAGTGTGTACTGGCAACAGATCAGAGGTAAGAAACTAGGCCACTTTCCTCCAGGGCAGTGAAGGAGAAGAAGGCATTGCAAATCCACCATTGAGCTGTCCTCCACGCCTCTAGAGAAGGCTCTTGGAGAGAAGCAGCACGGAGAAGCAGCAGCCTCCCCAGGTTGTGATCCGGCAGCCCAGGGCACAGAGGAGGAGGCTGAGTGGGAGAGACAGCCCGCAACACACGCCAGCTGCAAGGGTTGCTTCCTGCAACCTGCAACCTGCAACCCAGTGTGGCCCTGCAGACCCTGCCCTGCGTCCCTTGGATTATTGGTCATTTCCCTAATGATTAAAAAGATCGTTATGAAGTTTGTACTGTATCTGAGACCCGAGTTCCACATATTTCTCATATTCATTCTTATGGTTTCCCTTATGATTTTCTGTTCTCTAATCAAATGTCCATCTGGATTATGAGTCATACGTAGGAAAGCCTCTTCAAAATTATTTTTAAATCCTATTTCTTCCAGTACTTCTGTAGCTTCATTTTCAGAGATTTTAATATTTGATCTGTCTGAATTACTTTTGTTATGAGGGATAATATAAGAATCTAACTTTCTTTTAAAATGTGGTTCTCAAATTTTTACACTATGTTGAATAACCCGTGGATTTAAAATACTGTGTTTATCCTGTGCTAAAGTACTAGGTGGATTTAGATCTGTGTTTGGACGTCCAGTCCTGGCCCTCTGATCTACTTGTCTGCTCACACACCAAAACTGCAGGTCACAGCATTGTTCCGAGTGCTATACAAGTCTCATTTGTTTCCTGGTATGCGTTTTGGATTCCATGTCCAGTAAAATTTTGGAATGCAAGTAACTTATTCTGCACGTGTTCTGAAAGGTGAGCAAACATTTCTAATAGATTTTAACTTCTTAGTTATTTCTCTCATTGCTAAGACAAAATACCTGACACACGGGAGGAAAGGTCTATTTAGCTGAGTCAGTAGGGGTTTTAGTCCGTAGTAAGTTGGCGTAAGGGAGGGAGGCACGGCCGAGGGCATCACAGAGGAGAAACAGCCCATGACATGGCAGGGCAGAAGGCAACACATACATAAAGCAGCAGCAGAAGCAGCCGTGAAGCTGTGAGGCCGCCGCAGGCTTCTGTCTGTCCCTCACATTCCATCCAGGCTACCCACCCTTCTGGGTGGTGCCACCCACACCCAGACTGGGGCACCCTTAATTCCAGCATCGCATCCCAGATTCAGCCAGCTCCAAAAAGGCCCATTTTTTAGTGCATGAGGCTTTGGGGGCACATCTAGATACAAGCCATAACAGGAGATGTGTAAAATGTGGGAAACAGTGCAAAATTTTGTCGAAAATAACCACTAAATGAGGCTACAGCTGCAGGAGTGGGAATCTGTTTAACAACAGCGCAATGTCACATGCACTTTCAGTGTTTTGATTTCTCTTTTCCTTGCACTTCTAGGGATTGAACCAGGAGCTCTATCACTGAGCTGTACCCTTGCTGAGTTTTTCAGACTGGACTTGAACTTGCAATGACCCTCCTGTCTCTGTGGGGCTCTCCTGTGGGTAGCGTCATGCCCAGCTCGTGCCTCATTCCTGATTGATATTTTAGTCAGCTCCTTTATTTTTAAATGGTTCTTACTACGTTGCCCAGGCTGGTTCAGACTCCTGGACTCACCATAATCCTTCCACTTCAGCCTTCCAAGTAGCCGTAACCATGCCACAGGCTCAAGGCACCTTGCCCAGCTGACTATTTCTCCTCCTTCCCTTCCTCCCTCCCTCCATTTCTCCCTCTCTCCCTTCATTCCTTCCTTGTACCAGGAATAAATAAAAAAATATACAAGATAAATAAAAATATGCATTAAAGCAGTTGAGAGAACTAAAAACCATAAATGCTGAAATGTGATATATTTATAGTTTGGAAGACTTGATACTTGATCTACAGATTTAATGCAACATCAGTCAAAATCCCTATTATGTTCAGGGAGATTTTGTTTGTTCATATACAAAAATTACAAGCTGATTCAAACGTGCATAGAAGCACGGCACGGTGGTGCACGCCTGTAATCCAGCACACAGGAGGCTGAGGCAGGATGATCGCCACGAGTTTGAGACCAGCCTGGACTACAAAGTGTTCAAAGTCAGCCTGCACTGCACAGAGAGACCTTGTTTCAAAAAAACAAAAATAAACAAATACAGTAAATAGAATGTATATGGAAATACTAAGGGTGACAAAGAGCTAAATCCTTCCTGAGAAGAACTAGATGGGGAAAATTTGCCCTTTCAGGTTCAAAGCTTATTGCAAATTGTTATTGGCATAGCAGAGGTAAACAGAATAATCAAACAGAATCTCAAACTCAGGACTCCCATGTGTGTGGACATTGGACGTGTCCACAAAGATGACACTGTGGTTTGGTAGCAAAGGAGAGTCATTTCCATAAATCCCCAGAGCAGCTGGGGATGCCCCAGGGGAGGGGAAGGACACGCTAACTTCACACCCCACCCAGTCAGGTCCAGGTGGGAGCAGGGTGAAGCATGGAAGTGGATACAAAAGGCTTTTATAAGAAAGTAACATAAGGTATTACTTTTGCAACCACAGTGAAGTATATAGT